AGATGCCACCGAAACGTTGCACCTATTTTGTTTGTGTTTGATCAGCCTTTAACTTAAGATACAGTGGAGGTCCACTGTAACATGGAACGGTGTTCAGTGATGTATTACCGAACTTTTACTTGCAGTTCAGTGGCAATGAACCGAAATATATTTATTTTTTCAATAACTTATTGTCGACCATAAATTTAATGCAAGCTATTTTGACCTTACTCCCATTGAAGGAACAAAAACAAGGTGACGCCCCTGCTGAAAGGTGACAATGTGGGAACATAATGTGTAATGAACTATAGTGATCAATTCACAACTTATTCGATAATTATTTTGAGTTTTTTTTTAGTCTAAAATCCTTTATAGTATCATTAACGTGGCATTAATGTTTCAAATTTTAACTTTAAATGACATGAGTTTTATGTGTAAATATTCAATGGTAGAGATGCATTACTTAGATGGGCTCATGCACAAGGGAAAATGAATAATATTGTAATTGTAATTAGAAGGTCTAATTATGGAGGTGAGGGCAAGAGGATAATTGCTTGTGAGAGGAGTGGTAACTATAAGTCTTGCAAGTCTAGTGAGACAACTGATGTAAGGTCGGATGCAAATGGTGATACGAAAAAGTGTGCTAGGGACACTGATACCAAGAAATATGGATGCCCATTCTTGTTAAAAGATGTCAATATTGGTGATGAGGATGATTGGAAGTTGGAGGTGGTTTGCGGAGTACACAACCATTCTATTTCAGAGTATCTTCAAGGTCATTCATTTGTGGGGTGACTTTCTGAAGGATAGAGATGCAATGAATGTTTCAACTATGAAGACAATATACAATGCTAGGATCCGAAATTAAAAGAATGTTTCAACTCTATTGCGTATGTATATATGAATGCCAAGAGATATAGAAAATATGCTATGGCTAAATACATGATGTGCTCTCCTGAATATGTGTCTGAAACATTGGACAATCGCGCCCGTAACCATGACAAACTCACATACTTATCATTGTATTGGTGCAATTGTTCAGTATCCTCTTCATCAGTCCCTCCTAAGTAATTAACTAACAACTCGAAATTTGTGTCATTATCATCTTCAAGCTGAGCAACCGCTGCACTAGACACAGGAATGCCTAAAATAGATGACACATCATCTAATGTGATGGTCATCTCACCAAAAGGCATGTGAAAAGTGTTTGTTTAGGGATGCCACCTCTCAACGAATGTAGATACCACAATCTTATCTGCATTTCGATAAGAACACCTAAAAAGTTGCTCTAATTCAGACCTCTGAATGTACCCTTTTGTTTGCGCTAAAACTAAAGCTGATAGTAAGTAGGCCAACTTAAAGAGATTTAAAAATATATATTGTATTTTAAATACACGTGTCACTATATTATTGTAGATGTGAGCTCCACATATATGCCACATCAACAAACCAATGGAGTTTTTTTTAAAATAATTTAAAATTCATAAAATTTAAAAATGAAAAAACCAAGGGTTTAGGTTTCATAAATAGTCCTCAAAGTTAAAATCCTTCCATAAATGGTTTTTTCATTTGTAAATTTTATTAATTTTAAATTATTTTTAAAAAACTTCATTAGTTTTGTTTGCGCTAAAACTAGATGGATAGTAAATAGGCCAACTTAAAGATGAGGTGGATGCTGAAGGTAAGAACCCTCAGTGTGTGAGAACATTCGGTAAGTAAATAAGCATGCATACAGAAGACAAATGTACGTGGTTCACCCGAATAATGGGCTACGTCCACGGAGAAGTATGTTCTCATTACGATAATATTGTATACAATGCACATAGGGTTTGACCCAAGGAGAAGAGGAAGAATACCGAAGGCTGATGGCCGAAGGCTGAGGATTCAGCTGAAGGCCAATGATCTGGGGGATTGTAAATGGGCTCATGGGTAAGCCCATGAAGCCCAAGTAGCTTGCTCCACCCCTCCCCTTCTTGAAGGGGAGAGGTCTCCTTTTATGAAGAAGGGAGAGTCCCCTCCTCTTGTGTTTTATCGATGTGAGACTCCCTTCCCTTTGGCTTGGGAGTGTTTGGGGAGTGCTTGGCCAGATATTGTACAAACAGGAGTCCCCCAAGGTCCCGATTAAGGAGGTACTTCTTGATTGGGGACTTGTAGTCATTAATGCACTGGCCAAGTAATGCTTCAGCTCATTCTTCAGCAGGCTGATGGTTGATGGCCGAAGGCCGAATGCTGATGGCCGATGCCGAAGGTCGATAGTCGATGCCGAAGGCTGATGGCGCCGAAGGCCAAAGGCTAATGGCCGATGTCGAAGGTCGATAGCCGATGGCCGAAGGCTGATGGCCGAAGGCCGATGGCTGATGGCCGAAGGCTGATGGCGCCGAAGGCCAAAGGCTAATGGCCGATGTCGAAGGTCGATAGCCGATGGCCGAAGGCTGATGGCCGAAGGCCGATGGCTGATGGCCGAAGGCTGATGGCGCCGAAAGGGATAAGTGTCTCCTGGAAGGTGCCGTTCGGCATGGCTCTGAGAAAAGGCGCTGGAGAAGTGTCTCCTGGAAGGTGCCGTTCGGCATGGCTTTGAGAAAAGGCCGAAGGCTGATGGCCGATAGCTGATGGCCGAAGGCTGATGGCCGAAGGCCGATACCGAAGACCGAAGGCTGATGGCCGATGCCGAAGGCCAATGGCTGATGGTCGATGCCGAATCATTGGGGGGATGTGAAGACATCGCACGCGCCGAATGATGATGGGCGCCGAAGGCCGAAGGCAGATGCCGAATCATTGGGGGGATGTGAAGACATCGCACGCGCCGAATGATGCAAGGGTGCCGAAGGCCGAAGGCAGATGCCGAATCATTGGAGGGATGTGAAGACATCGCACGCGCCGAATGATGATGGGGTGCTGAAGGCTGAAGGCAGATGCCGAATCATTGGGGGGATGTGAAGACATCGCACGCGCCGAATGATGCAAGGGTGCCGAAGCATTGGGGGATGTGAAGACATCACGCGCCGAATGATGCAAGGGTGCTGAAGGGGCACTTGTTGTAGGCTGCCGAGAGCACTCGAAAAGGAGAACGGCATAGCGTTTTGTGTCGTTTCTCACAGACGGCGCCAATCTGTTGGCGCTAAAACTAGGCATGTAGTAAGTAGGCCAACTTAAAGATGAGGTGGATGTTGAAGGTGAGGACCCTCATTATGTAAGAGCATTCGGTAGATAAATGGACATGCATACAGAAGACAAATGTACGTGGTTCACCCGAATAATGGGCTACGTCCACGGAGAAGTATGTTCTCATTACGATAATATTGTATACAATGCACATAGGGTTTGACCCAAGGAGAAGAGGAAGAATACCGAAGGCTGATGGCGCCGAAGGCTGAGGATTCAACTAAAGGCCAATGATCCGTGGGATTGTAAATGGGCTCATGGGTAAGCCCATGAAGCCCAAGTAGCTTGCTCCACCCCTCCCCTTCTTAAAGGGGAGAGGTCTCCTTTTATAAAGAAGGGAGAGTCCCCTCCTCTTGTGTTTTGTCGATGTGGGACTCCCTTCCCTTTGGCTTGGGAGTGTTTGGGGAGTGCTTGGCCAGATATTGTACAAACACCTTTGAATATACTATTATTTGGATTAGCCCCCCCAATTCCACTCACGAAGGATAAATGTCTTCGACATGTACCTAAGGGGCTCACGTTCCTAGTCAAATACAAAAAAAAAATATATTTAGGTTAATTACCATGAACCAGACTTATATTCTGCCTTCTATTGTTACAGTAAAAAGACTTACCTGATTATTCCAAATTGCAGCTGCTATGTGAGTTTTAAAACTCCTAAGTAAAGATGGATCAATAAGACCTACTCGAGTTGGCTTAGTAGACTCGGCATGTACCTCAACATTACTATCATGAGTAGCAGCTACATCTTCAACCTCTGCGTCAACATTACTATCATGAGTAGGAGCTACATCTTCAACCTCTAAAGTAACAAAGTGATCTTGGGGAGCCGCTCTTTGTCTCCTCATTGAGGTTGTGGGAGGCTATCTATCAGGTCGAGATGATGAAGCCTCAGTAGTACCTCTGCGAGTCCTCTTCATATCTAAAAAACGATATCAAGTACAAACTCAGTAACGGATTCGGTAGATGATCGCTGAAAAACGGAAACAAATTTAGTGGACAATCACTGAAAAACGGAAACATATTCGGTGGAGTATCACTGAAAACAAAAATACATTCGGTGGACAGCTACTGAACAACGGAAACAAATTCGTCTACCACCGAAACAAAGTAAAATTAATTTTCTTACAGACCAGGTTCAATTTCGGTGGACTACCACTGAAACAATGTAATCATTTCGGTGGTAACCCATCGAAAGTAAAATCCAGTTTCGTAAAACCAGGTTCGAACCATACATCCACAAATTTGAAATAAAAAATTAAAATCAAACTTTGGCTTTTCAAAAGTGAAATCAAACCTAGGCTTAATCAACACTTAGAAACGTAAATTTAGAAATCAAAATTGAAATCAAATCTTGGTTTTTCGAAGGATTTTGAGGTTAGATGGGATTGTGAAAACTTCATAGATCAGAGATGGGGTTTGCAATGGCTGAGGTGATGGTGGTTTGCAACAGGGTGAGGTGTTTGGGGTAGGTGATGGGGTGTGCGATAGGGGTTTGCTGTGATGGATTTGTTTCAAATTGGATGGGGTGTTCGACGAAGTTTGTTGCAAATCTGATGGGGTGTGCAATGGGGTGTGTCTGCAAGAGGAGAGAATTTTCGATGGGGTGGGGCTTGATATGGGATGGGGTGGGGTTTGATATGAGATGGGGTGTGTCTGAAAGAGAAGCGGGTTTTCGATGGTTGGTGTATGATATAGGATGGGGTTTACACAGTAAGTTAGGGAATGAGGTTCATGAGGGCAATTTAGAAAGAAAAATAGGATATAGTGAGTAATTTTAAATTTTATTAAAATTCAATGGGGTGTAAAGAGAATGTGGGGTGCAAAGAGCAAATAATAGGGTGCCAATAAAATCTCCCTAAAAATAAGTGTGTTTCAACATAAACATATTAACTACTAAATAATAATAATATTAAGCTTAAGAATGCATTAGCCTACGAAAAGAGGCTTACAAAAACCCCGATTTATTATGAACTGTCTAGTTCACAAAATAAAGTACTTCAAACTTATCATCTCTCACAATGAAAATGATTCAGATGGATTTGAAGCCTGTAGCTTTGCCACTTGTTGATCGAGTAGTTTGAACTCCTTTTTGTTTGGGCAACTTTGTGTATTCGATGAAAATATGCATGAGGAGCACAGTGGCGGCGAAGGAAGTTACTAAAACGCCCACCCCTCTCCATGTGGATAGAAGGGAGAACTTTTGGCACAGTTTGAACATCGCAAGATAAATTAGACAGGAGCAGCTGCTATGAACCTGAGAGAGAGAGAGAGAGAGAGAGAGAGATAGATAATTTTTTAAGAAAATATGTATAAAAAAAAGTATTTATTTTGTAGGAAAGAAAAAGACTAGAATAACTTACAAGCAATGCCATAATAGATCGACCAGTGTTATGAATTTCTTGGTCACCGAAGGTACCCTCAGCTCGAAACTTGTCCAACATGGAATCCTTTGTGTATATATATAAGAGGAAGAATCGAAAATCACAAAGGTTATTATTTTTAACAATGAGCAAAATGACAAAAAAAATATTCAGTCTCTCTTTTTATTGATAAAATGACAAAATATATGAACAATTTTTTTTTTCAGGAAAATACTTCTCTGGAAGTAGGAACTCCTACTTTCCTACCAATCAGAGTTTGACATGTGTGCATAGATTTTTCTATTTGTGTTTTTGATGAATTATTTTTACATTTGTGTCAAGCTGTGATTTGCAAGAAATAAGGAATGCCTCCTTTCCGGGAAGTAGGAATTATTTTTTATGAATTATTACATTTTGTATGGATGGTTTCACTACTAATAGTACATGAAACAAACAAAGTACATCGAAAACTTGATCAAATAAAATGTATTATATAATAAATGGTTCTACTACTAATATCACTGCGACCCTTTTGTGATATCGGTGTTCAAGGGTTCAAGCGTACCTTGGCCACAAACCTGTCTCTGCACCACTGAGCAATGGCCTCATCTGATTGTGGCAATTCCTTCATTGAGTATCGTTTTATATGTATTTTTACCTATCACAAGTCACAATTTGTATGCCATCAGAAAAGGGCTTAAATATTTAGTTTTGGAGTGATGTCTAATTTTTTATTTTTTTAATGTTTAGATTCATCAATTTGTAAAAATAAGTATCGAGTTGCCACAATCAACTTCAATTTGCTTAATACTTGTATGTTAAAGAAAATTGCTTGCTAATTATTTGTAATTGGAACTCGATGGTTTACCATAGTACTTTTCTTTTCCATTATGGTATGCAGGGAAGGAGTTGAATGACCTTCTGGAACAGCAAGAGTAATATCATACACTGCAGGGACAAATGATCTCAAATTCTTCACTGCTGTAACAAAACCCTGAGAGATTAACAAAATGATAATCAATTTTCAAATTCAAAAACTCGTAAAAGCAAAAAAAATAAAAATTTAATTTCTATTTTGAGTAGAAGTTTTAGCATAAAATTTGACCTTGGTACGAGGAATCAAGACATTCTTAGGGATAGATAGTTTCCTAGAAGCAGCAAACTTTTGAGCTTCTGAAAGCTTGTCTGGGGTCATGCGTGTTCCTTCCGCGTATATGGTAAGCCAAAATGGCATGGGAAAATCCTTTAACCCTTGTAAACTTCTCTGCACCATCACCCAAATAATATCAACAAAAGGAGGGACGCAAACAAATTAAACCAAAGTTCATGGTGAAACTGTTTTCAAGAATGTAATAATAATGTTACAACTTACGAGCACCATATCAGAATCACATTACTGATCATATCTCTCACATAAGTATAGTAAATCATACTACAATGTGGCCGGAGAAATCGAAATAATTTCATCTGAAAGTTGTACCTTTAGGTTACTTTCATCTTTTTCCCAGCTTCTGTTGAGGAAAACAAACCCTTGAAACCAAGATGTCCACCCAAAAATCTGCACCATGTATATTTAAATGCGTTATATTAATCTTGATGGAGTTTGGTTTCAAAATTGACACTGCCGTACTAATTAAAGTCCATTTTGGAAGTGACATTATGGTAACTAAGGACATTGGATAAGATGATGATTATATAGTTTTTGCCCTAGAAACTCACAGGAAGGTATTTTGCAGATTTCTTCACAACCATAAGAGCACTACGAAGGCAACCCAATCGCTGCAAAAAGCAACATATATATCCATATCAAATTAGGTTCCATAGGAGAAAATTTTAGCATGTTATAATAGCTAGACATTCTGGCTATATATTTGCAGTTAATAAGGGTGCAATATTAGTACCTGAGCTAAAATAAACCCAATAAGTATATCAGCATCACATATGTGGTTGGGCATGAGAAGCGCATGCTCTTCGCCTGTAATTTTCCCAAACATATAATTTTTCTGGAGCCGAAAATTGTTCTTTTGAGGGGATCTTTCAAATATCCTTGTGGGGCCACTTCATGTTGTATTTTAATGATCCGAACTGTCTATCTTTTAGGTATTTCTTCAAAGATAAAAATCACATGAGTCGGAAACTGAGTACTCAATTAATGATTTTCGTTTTAGTGTTTTTGTGAAGCACCATGTTCGTCTATTTTGTTGGTCACAAACAAAACGTCTTAATGCTTTTCAATTTTTCTAATTTTTTACAAGGATATAAAGACTTCAAAAATAGACAGTTCGGATTGTTGAAATAAAATTCGTACTTGACCCCACAACGTGTCCTTCAATTAAAATTATTTGAAAGATCCCTCAATAAAATTGTGGAAGAACATCACGAAAACAATAATTTATTTATAGTTACCCATTAGTCGATAAGTTTCCAAATCTGTGTACAGCTTAACCTGTAATCAAAAGTAAAGTAGTCAACACTTCTGCAGATGAGTGGTGCTAATACATATGCATGTAGCATACTCTTCTGTAACCACTCAATTTTAACCATGTAAATTTAATGGTGGAAGTTGCTAACCGTTGCTGGAGATTGCTTAGGCAATAATTTTTTGCTACATAATTAGGATTAGTAATCAATTGGGATGGTCAAGTAGAATCGTGTTTAAATGTTGTAGTTCATCCATTGTTAATCTGATAATTTATACATATGAGACTTTTTGACGAGAAAACATATCCTTTTGTTATCATATTCCATCAACACATAATTAAAGCGACACTAAACTCATTATGGACTGAATTTTCTCTAATTAGTCGAACATATATAGAGGATCGTTCTGGTATTAATATGAAAATAAAAAAAATATGATCCTACAACATTTCTTTTTAGCTACAAATTAATCCTACAAAATTTGCAATATATATATTGCGGACGCCCGGACGTTATTATCATGTGGATACCATGTATTCTCTACTACTCTTCCATATTTTCCTTTCTGTTTATAATCACATTCATATGATAATAATGTGCGGACATCCGGATGAGAGAATAACTATATATATATTATATATAAACGAAAAAAACTATATACAGCAATGCAAATTAATTAGAGCACCTTAAGGCCTGCCCACCACTCCAAGAGCCAAATGTGATCCAACCATAAAAGCGATGCAACTGTTCCATTGATCTTTCTATATGCACTCTTGGACAAAGGTCGAATAGTAAGAAAGCATATGGCCTACAAAAGTACAACCATTAGCTATGCCACCTTCCATCGCAAAGTCAAATCTGCTCACATCATATATATTTGCTGCTGCTTAAGTATTTGAAAGTGAGTTTGACCAACAACAAAAAATGTATTTGAAAGAGAGAAATTTGAATTATTAAATTTTTTTTGCAGTTAAATGTCTTTTCGGACAACAATTAACAATAAACTCTTCAATATGAAGTTATCATGAGCTTATATGTGAAAAGCGCACGCAACGAAGTTTATATGAAAATATCATTGCTGTATTAAAATGTCATCCCCAAAAACCTTGTGGTGGATGACTAATAGAAAATAGTTGCTAAATGCTATTTTAGGTGAGGAAGAACCAAAAAAAATGAAAAAAAGGACTGGATCAACAATTTCAGGATACAGAAAGTACCTGGAGAAGATTGACAAAGAGACCAAGGACAAAAAAGGTTACACCATAAGGAATTGAGAAAACTACAGCTTTAAGCTCCATGGCCAAAACACACAATCCCTACAATTACACACCCCGAGAGAGAGAGAGAGAGAGAGAAGAGAGATATGGAGGGTGTTATAAAATAGAGAGGGATACTTGTAGTTATATATATGAATGTGTTTGGAAATTTGGCAATGCACGTTAGACTCGTTGCATGAACTAATGATTCATTTTCTTTTAAGGTAGCCTGGTTGGCAGGATAACTTATAGGCTTTGGCGTACCAACTTAATAATTAACTCAAATTTATGCAACGATAATTAGGGTTCATTTTCTCACCATTTTATAGGCCCCATTCTGTTGGGGTACCACCACCAGAGCTGGGCATTTTCATTGACTGAACTAGACTGGTCTGGTCTACTTTCTTGAGTATTAAATTTTCTGGTTTAATTAAGTCGAAATTAGCAGTTTGTAACCCTAGCAATTTAGAACATTGGTTTTCACACCCGAGGTCTTGTACTCGATTTCCCCCTCCTCCTCTTCCTCTCTCGGGCTTGTAACCCAAGTAATATTGCTTTGCATAAGAGAAACTTTGGCAACTATTTATTTTTGGGGAAGATTAGACGAGCATTTAATAGGATGTCGTTGGATGAGTGTGATTTAATTTACCTGCTATACGAATCTCAAAATTTCATCTCATCCAACGGCCATTAACATGATGGTGATGAGAAATTATAGAATAGTATGGATGTACCACGTCAGCATGTGATACTCCTATTCAAATATTGCCATGTGTCCATTTTAAAATAGAAATTAAATTTTTTTTACAGCTGGATTTATTTCTTAATTTTTATCTTATGAAATAAAATTAGAAATTTGAAAAACTTAAGGAAAAAGGAAAAATAAAAAGAGAATTCCCAACAGCAACCCCTCCCGAACCCAACACCTCTAATCCCAAAAACATGCCATGACCGCCACCCATCTCCACACTACCTGCCATGACTGCCACCCATCTCCCTTCCTCTTCCTCTTCCTCTTCCTTTTTCTTTTCCTCTTCTTTTCAACCCTTATAGTAATTGTAGGTAATGGAGTTTAAAGAGAGGTAGAGAAAACTAGTATTGATGATTATGATGATAATGGTGATGAAATGGAATAGTGGAAACGTTGGTGTTTGTGTTAATGGTTGGGAAATGTTAGAGTGAATGCAAAACAGAGAGACCCTTTGAGAGAATTGTTGTATTATTGATTGAAGTAATTGTTACCAAGGAGTTACAGTATTGGATCTGAGTTTGGAAATAGTATGATGATGGCAAAGGTTGTCATGATCAATTTCAGAGAAAGGGGAATTAAATATTTAATTTCTGTTTTAAAATAGACACATGGCAATATTTGAAGGGGAGTATCACATGCTGACATGGTACATCCGTACTATTCTATAATTTCTCGATGGTGATGCTCATCACCACTAATTCAGAGCGGTGAGAAAAAAAGTGTTGGACTATAGCTTGTATTTAAATAAAAAATTAAAATAAAATCTTATTTTCCATCATTACGCTTAATCAATCTAAAAAGTGTTTTAAAAAACAAAATAATAGAAAATCAGGGGAGTGAGGAGTGTCTTTGGAGTTTGGGCAATTGGGGTTGGTGTAAGCCATGGGGCCTGCTCTGGGAGGAAGTGCTAGAGAGAGACGAGAGATTGGGGAAGAAAAGGGCAGAGAGAGATAGGTGATGGGCCCCACTTTCTACGTCCTACCATCATAGTAGCTCTACTGCCGTACACACAATCCTGTTAAAATACGGCGTATCATGTACACAGCAGCAAAAATTTAATCTTTGTATGCTGGCTTGACCTGTACATTAGGGAAGCATTTATAAGTGCAATTTTCAAACTTCCCATTGATTATAAATTGTAATTGCTTGGGAACATGTTGATTTAATTCTCGGTCCGCTGAAATTTATCCCTATTCTATATTCTATATTTGGGTCAATTTAATCCCTGTGTTTTCAATTTAGCCAATTTAGTCAATGTGTTTAGAATAGTTATCCAATGTGGCCCAATCTATTAAATTTACATTATAAACCTTTTTTTGGTCTTTTAAAAACCGAAAAACTTTTTGAAATTAATTTTTTTCAAAGAATGGGTAAATTGCCGAAATGCCCCCTGAATTTGTACTTAATTTGAGATTTACCCCATCACCTTTTTTTTCACAAAATTAAGGACTTGAACTAAATTATAATCTCAATTTCCCTCCTGCTGTCCAAATTCTCAACATTTCATCCAATTTTCAGTTAAATGATTAAAAATAATTTTTTTTTACTTGAAAAACCCTAACCCACAATCCCAAAGTTGCATCTGAAGATGAAAGGAGAGAGGCCAGCTTTTAGGTGGGCACGATTTGACGAAATTGCCCATCCACGTGAGGGGCACGTGACCAAAACATGACGGGCGTTAACAAAATTTGACAGAAAATCACGATTGTCCTTGAATTGCTCGAAATTGAAAGTACATGGACAAAATTGACCAAATCGAAACGACAGGTACTAAAGTGGTAAAAGCGGCAAACTACAGGGACCCAAAGTGACCTTTTGCCCAAAAAAGACCTTCCCCATAGCCATCACATTTCTTCCCCACCATTGCCATCACACCTCTCCTCATCACCACAGCCAGCCCCTCATCTCACCAACCCAAAACAACTCCTCCCCATCCCTTAGCTTAGCCACTCCAATCCTCGATTGAAATCACAGCAGCCAGTGACCCAGCCTCTTCCCCACCCGCAACCCACCCTACGTCCAAAAAACAGAAAAGTAAACCTTATCCCTACCCACAAACCCAAACCTATTCGCACCATTTCCCCTATAATTTTTTCCCCCATAGCTTTAAAGGTCCAAACCTCTTCACCTCAGAAGTTCATTGCCCCTTCACCCGAAATCTCGACCCCAAATTGCACAACTCATCAATGGATTCAAGATTTGAATAAAATGGGGCTGTTTGGAGGGTGGGGGCTGATGGGTTTGGTTGCATAGAGAGAGAGAGAGAGAGAGAGAGAGAGGGCATAGAGATAGATAGAGAGGGCAAAGAGAGAGAGAGAGGGGCAGAGTCATAGAGAGAGGGAAGAAGGGGTTTGGTTGCAAAGAGAGAGAAGAAAGGGTGGGTGGGTCCCACCCCTCTGTTTATTAAAATGATTTTTTTTTTCATTTTATATGTCATACTATTTTATTTTACAGTATTTTATTATTTTTAACATATGAAATGACCAATTTGCCCTCATATTTAACAGCTAATTGGATGAAATGTTGAGAATTTGGACGGCATGAGGGAAATTGAGAATAAAATTTAGTTCCAGTCCTTAATTTTGTAAAAAAAAAAGGTCATAGGGTAAATTGATAATTAGGTACAAATTCAAGGGGTATTTCGGCAGTTTACCCTTAAAGAATGAACTTTAAAATATTGAAACTTCATTAAAACTTATCAAAGGATGAAAGAGACCCTCTTTGACCAATCCCTTCATAGCTCATAAACTGCAATTTCTTCAGCTTTCTACAGCTTCTCCAAAGCCAACCCAAGCCCCAATCACCAACTCCAATTCCAAATAAACAAAGACTTTCCAAACCCAATTATGCATCAGAATCCTCGTTGCAGAACCCATATTTTGTATTGGCATCAACAGCTAACTCAAAACCTTCCCTACAATAAACCAAGATTGACAATTCATTCAAAGAAGGGAAATTGAGGATCCACAATTTGGTGTGTGATAGCATTTTGATGGTGGTGGCGGCTAGGATGGGCGAGTAGGGGGAGGTAGCTAGGATTGGATGGCGGTGCCTTGTTTTTTAATTTTTAGTTTTTAAGTTTTTGTTTTTGGATCTCATTTTTATTATTTTTAGTGCTTTTTTATTTATTTTTAAATTCAATTCAATTATTATATTAGTTTTTAAAAACTTTTTAACATCAAATTAACGGATGGGACCACATTGGCTAACGGTGCTAAACACAAGGACTAAATTGACCAAATTAAAAACACAGGGACTAAATTGACCAACACGATCAAACACAAGGACTATTTTGACATTTAAGCCTTTAATTTATTTATAATGATAACCGAATCCCAAGTCATTGAATGTTTCCATCAAAAGTCCTTCCAATTAGCTCAAGTGATGAGGATGAGTGGGGAAATGGATTAGGATTAGATTATATTCTCTCCATTGTAGAAAAGAAAAATAGATAAACCAATGAATCAGTAAATAAATAAATACAGAGCTGTCTTGCTACAACAATACACAAGCATATTGCCTAAATTTGTGTGTGTGTATACATATATATAGTTGTATATTCCATTTCCAAGCTACAACAAGAGAACAATAAGCTTGGCAATTTCAAATGAAGAAACCCAAAAACAAAAAAACAAAACAAAAAAAATTATAATCACATTTGAAGATCACTGTCATGCCTAATTGTTAGCACTAATAATTAAATAAGAAGATCATTTCTGAACGAGTCTCTCCTTGGTTTGGTCTTGTGGGGTTATATTGAGAGGTGTCGAACGCTCTGATTCAGATGAATGGATGAGGATTTGCATAACAATTACAATAAGGACGAAGAAAGTAGCTGAAAATGCAATGCCTTTCCATGAGGATAGGAGGGCAGACCATGGAACAAATTTGAAAATTCCATAGCCAAGTAGGCAGGACCAGAGTAACACAACCTATATATTGTGACAAGAAAATGGAATTAGAATGAGAAAAAGAGGTAAAAAGGATAAGATGGTCAATTGTGAAATCTCACAATTAAGGACTTCATAGGTCTGCCAATGTTTTGGAGTTGCTGGTCACTGAATGCGCCTTTAGCAAAGTACTTCTCCAGTAAAGCATCCTGGTAGTCGAAAAGTTGGAAAAAAGAAAGAAAAAAGGGCATCAAACATACATATGCAGTTACTAGGGGGCTATAAAGTGAGCAGTGTCAAATGATGATGAAGATCTGTTTAGGTCTGCCGGTATGATTGCAATTTGCTGCGCCCTATGAGTCAATTAAAAAGGAAATGCATGAGCAAGCTGTTGTGGCCCAAGCGGTTAGGAGCATTCACCCTTGCACTCGAGGTCATGCATTTGAATTCCCCTTCCCCCAATATCACTTGTATTTAAAAAAAGAAAGAAAAAAAGAA